CACACACACACACACACACACACACACACACACACACACATACCACACACACACCTGCTGAACTAGTCGAGCAGTGCCTTTTTTCACATTAATGGAAACTGGGAGCAGAAATCAAATCAATATAAATTTCCACTGGACCAGGCCTGTGAAGTATGTTTGGCCCATTTGTTAGAGCAGAGAGCAGCCAGAGGATTCAGACCGAGGAGAGGAAGTCTGCCGATGAAGTGTAATTCCCGTAATGATGACTGGTAGGTTCGGAGGCACACTCAATCATCGCTTCCCATTAAGCTCTGCACGTCCTTCCCGGACGCGACCGTTTCCCTTTGCTGTTGAGGAGCAGGTTGGTGCTGGCGTCGTGACGCTGTTTGTTCATCAGTCACCACAGAGGCAGCAGGAAAAAAGACTGGATTTAATCAATCAGGCTCTGTGCCCATGTGGGGAAAATGTTTTCATCAGTTAGGCGATCAATCAGACCTTCATGCCACTTAGACATTCCCTCTCTTTCTGAATCTTTGAGGCTCACCATAAAGTAGTGCCCGTGGTCTAAAGTAACGAAGCACATTTCCTCAAGTGCCCCGGCCAGCTACAGCATTAAAATGCTACTTAATGTTGAAGGGGAATCCATCAAAGTCTGTTCACAGGCGTTGAGAACTACTGCATATGTGAAAGGAAAAAATTGCGGGGAAGCTGTACGAAATCTGATAAACTGCCTCAAGTGTCAGCGTCGGTTGGGGCTGAAAACTGAGATTGTTCCAATACCCAAACTATCATCGCACCATAACAGAAAACGGTGGAACAAATAGTATTTAAAATGCTGTATGCCGAAAATACCAGAATGTCCTACTGCATTTGGTAACAATTTGTAGTATGAAAGCCAGCATGCTTTTCTGACCCACAATCCTCTGCACAGCGGAAGATACATCACATCGACTGAGTAGCTAAGAGAGCACAAACAGGTGACAGCCTGATGACAGATTATTGACAGCTCATTAATAACAGAAGCCACAAAGCCAGATGACAGTTCAAAGCACCACGTCATGACAAAGTAGTATGTCCTAATCATATTCATACCGAATACAACAATATGTAGTGCAATATGCAGTACGTACTAAAAGTGTCAACATCAGATTTGGAAAGCAGCATAACATCTGGGGGTGTGGAGTTATCAAGAAGGGAGCTCATCAGACCTCTGTAGCCCGATCCTCATTGCTTGAAACTAAAGACTAGAAGCTACATTAGCTGCTACTAGCACAACACAACCAAATCTTAGACCAATTTGTCTTCAGTCAATTTGTCTTCAGTATTACTATTCAGTAATAGAAAGAGATAGGGGCATTCAGTACTGCAGATTCTGCATAGCAAGTGTAATGTTCACTTTCGTGTGTGTGTGTGTTTGTGTGTGTGCGCGCGTGCGTGCGTGTGTCGGGCATAAGATGCATTAGGGTGCGTCTACTGCAGACTTTGATCCCGAGGATTTCTCCTCTTGACTCAGTACGACACAAGCTCAAAGATGAGAGGAAGTAAGGAGAATTAATATCACTTCAACTTCTCAGCATTAAAACCACTGAACCCAGGATTAATATGTCGCCGTGTCCCGCCTCAGGGACTCATGACATTTTACCTTTGTGGAACATTTCAAGCCCTCCCTTTATTGATATTTAACAGTTGTAAGCTGTAGCAGAGCCGAATGACTCATAGTAGTACAAATAAGTATGCACTTGCTGTGCAGACAGATCCACAGTGGGCCTCAGTAACAGCTCTGTCACATAAACATCTGTAGACTATGACTCTGCCTGTTTCTAGAGCTCTGCTAAACAAAAGCTCACAAACTCTACTTGCCTTCTTCCTCCTTTTCCTCAAAACAGTAACCAAACCACGCTATTACCCAACTTGGTAAATATTCTGAGTAGAAGGGGAATTTGACAACTTTTGCTCTTTTCCACAGATGTGCCTCTCCAGTTTGTCCCTCTAACATTACATTTGAGTCACAGAGCCTAGCATCCTTTTTCTGAAGAATACATATAACCCTGTTCTGAAGGTATTTCCAGAATCCTTAAGGTCTGTTTTGATTTACTGTACTGCATTTTGTATGTACTGACTAACCACTGTACTTGTATTGTACTGTATTTCCAAAACCAGGAAGTCAGAACTGACAAATGTCCCTTTGCGCAATGAGAGATGTCATTACTGGCTAACATCACATGCTTCCTGGCACTGGATGGATGCATCTTCGTTGCTGGCTACAGCAAAATGACGTAGTCCCTCTGGAAATTTTGAAAAGCTCTGTCCTCTGCGACTTCCCCAAACACCTTGTCAGATGTGCTCTGAACCCAGTGGGGAGCGCAAGGCAAATTGTGTTGTGCCTGAGAGGGCCTTCAGATTTATCTTCTGACCTTTTGGCGGGGGCCGATCCCTTGGTTGGGAACCACTGGACTAAACTACCAAACTCTAGATAAAGTACTTAAAATAAGCTCCACCTTAACCTGGTACTTTCACTTAAAAATCTATTTTAGTGTGCAAGAGATTCATCCAGATGGTTTAAAGAGTATTTGAGGAATCTGGCAATATCTTCAGAACAGCAGTAAGTGTTAAGACAACATTTCAGGTATTTTTTCTTTTCAGAAAATGTAACACTTAATTCTTTGACTCGAATGTAATGGTATAACATGAGGAGGCTCTAATTGTACCATAAATATCTGACGAGGAAAAGTCTTTGGAATCCTAATGCAATATGTAAGGGAATTTTAAAAAAAGAAGCTACACTAAAGCTCCGGAGGGTGCAATCTATTGTCCAGTTTAAATCAGTCTTCCTTGTTATGCAACACTAAACCACCATATGAGAGAGAGATGACTATGAGAGCCAGGATCAAGGTCCTTTTACCAGGATTAAAGCCAGGATTACAGATGTTGCGTCATAGAATATTCACTGAGTGAAATGAATAATGACAAATCTGATGATTTGATTTCATCTACATGAAAAACAATACTGGTGATTTAACAGCATGATTAAAGATGCAGTCATCTCTGTACATTTCCTTTGAGAGCATCTATTTCAAGCGAAATAAATGAAGACTAAGTGAGGAAACATGTAAAGCATCACTGTATTGCACAGGATGTGGCCAAAACTATCACTTCACCCTCCACAGAAAAGCAGCCCTCTCATCCTGCCAGAGCATCCAGCAAACAAAGCCTGTAGATGCCGGTTACTGTAAATGGCGCATGTACTCTGAATAGGGCGTAAATCATGTTATTGCTCATTAAGCAAGGGCCTGGCAACCGTTTGCCGATTGGCTAACGGGGAGACAGGGTGGGGTTAGATGCTGAGGGAGACTCAGGAGTCGGTTACAAGATCTCCTCCCAATGCAGCCGCTCGCTCTGCACTTCAGCTGAATACATCTTAACGTTTTATGAGGCTGACTAGCTCACGGGTGTCTCAGCTGGACACACTGAACATAACACATGCAAGGATGTAGAGAGAGTATGAACGCGTAGGCAAAGAGAAGGACTCAGTCTCATTACATGCACATATGCTTCCCTGGCCCCGGAGCCCAGCGTCCTGGGGTGGACGGACAGATGACACACCGTCCTTCTGTTCCAGTTTCTTGTTCCTTCATCCAAGCTCCATAGGTGGCGATCAACATGCACACAAACCACGTTCACACATACAACATACAAACCAGTGAGCATCAAACTGTGAGGAAGTCTTTTGCCTATTAACTAGCATAGATCAAATATAAATATGTAAAATCCTATTTTAAAATGAGATCAGTGGATATTAAATGGGCAGAAAGCCAACAGGGTAAGGACACACCATCCTAAAATGAATTCTGCCAGTAAAGGGAAAAACAGGCCGGGCCCACATCGTCCCTGAATAATTTGTTTAGTCATTCCAAATGGGTCTTTCCATTTGTGTATTCGGCTGCTTGTTTCCGCAATTTAGCACAAATTAAAGCACAGAGAGGTCTCCCTGCACGAGGGTGCCGATGGCTGGTGATAAAAGTGAGATGTCTGCCCGGCTGGTGTTGGACGTGAGCCAACCCACGCCAGGACACTGCCCTCCCACCAATGCCCCCCTGCAGCTCACAGTGCAACTTTAAAGCCAGCATGTGAGGGACGATTCCTCCAAAACAAGGAAACTAAGCTACAAAGAGAGTAGGTGATGTCAGAATGATGAACTGCAGCTAAGTGCACCAGAATGAACCCAGACAAAAAGCTTTGTTTCTTAAAATGAGCTTAGAACGATGCAGAGCCCTGCATATTTTCTGCAGTAAGACTCGTACCGTTTTAAATTAATGCCAAGCCCTTTTACAATTTTTTTTTTTTTTTTTTAAATCAATTATGGCCTCTGCATGGGGTTTTGAAACAGTAATGATATCATAAACCATATGAGCTGGAGCTGTTATTAGTCCATTTACTGACTGGTTATGATTTTGATAACCGATTGTTTCCCTCATCTTTTGCACAAGATGAGTGAAACAACAAAGTAGAGCTGATGGGAACGTCATTAGGTTTGCAGGTATTTAGCCATAAACCAAAGCAGCTATTGTGACAGATGGTGGCGCTAGATGAAAAGTCACCAGAGTGATTAGAATTCATTCTGAAGTGGGGCATCTATTAAACATAGCTGCCAATGGGCAGTTTGAGAATGCATTAAACCTCAGAGTCTTGTGCAGAGGGCTATTACACTGTCAGAGGTTTCAATCAGATACGTATGAACATGCCGTGTAATGACGAGTTGGAAAATCACCCCCATATTGTCTGGGCCGAATCTCCGCGTTAATATCCAGCCCCCCGTGAGAGATAATGATGTTCAACTGTAATATGAACATATCATACTAACAACCCTCCAGCCATTAGTCACCGCAATGCCTCCTCTGGGCTCTGGATGTTCAGTGCGAGAAGTATCATCTCTCTCTCTTTGCTGCGAGCCGGACAACAGCTCTTTCTGTCTGGACTCAAAATGAAAGCAGGAGGCCATTAAAGTGCAGAGCAGACAGAGATGGGAAGGGCCAGCCACTATATGAGAGAAGCTGCCTCTCTTCTCCGATATGCTGCAAATCCATTTGGCCCGATACGCATACACGCCCACAGTCAAGAGGGGTTACTGTGTTACCGAGCTAAATCATTGTTCCCGATTTGTCAGTTAAAACTGGCGAGAAAAGAGAGAAGAATGAGGAAACAAGTGGGACAAAGACAGAAAATTAATGTAAATGAAAATGAGAAGCAGCACTGCTTTACGATCATTCAAACTCGTGTTCACTGTAAAAAAACAATCTCTGTGCAGCTTTAGCTGATAGGACTTGGATTCACAGGCTGCATCCGAGCCGGTGTTTGCGCACCACTAATGAGTCCACTGGGTCTGTGCGAGTAGTGGTTTGAGACAGAAACGCAGAGACAACAAAAAAAAAGGCAGCTTTCCGGACCAGAGGAAAGGGCCAGAGGAACAGCTGAACAGCTACAGGGCTATTAAATATTGAACACCTGAGTATGTGGTTGATCATAAACCTTCTCTCTGTCATGGACTGGATTTTGAGCCAAAATGGATCCACAGTGTGTCTAGGAGCTTATCGAGACAGAAATTCTAGCTTGTTACAAATGAAGGTATGGGGCTACTCAGGTAGCTCACCTGGTAGAACCGGTGGTCCATGGATCAAGGCTGAGTCCAGATAAGATACTGATCCAACAAATCACATTACATTTAAGTACATTTTAGAAGCTTCAAAATGTCCAATACTCATTTAAAAACTATTGCCTATCAAATATATACAACAGAAATTACTGAGATGAGACTTTCATTATTTTTTTCATACAAAAATACCAAATATTTGCTTGTTCAAGCTTATTAAATGTACGACACTAAAACAAGGACTTTCAATGCACCACCTTGTGTTTTGGGAAAGGAGATTATTTTTCATTTTATTGTCAAAAATGATCAATCCATAATCAAAATAATCGTTAGTTGCAGCTACCAAAAATACCATGATTAATCTACATTACTATGATTAAATTACTAATCGTTTGGTCAACACAATGTCGAAAAACAGCCATCACAAGTTCCCAGAGCCCCAGGTGACGTCTCGTTTTATTTTTGTCCCAAATATATTTTGTTTACTATCTCAGAGGACAAAGGAAATCAGAAAACATTCACACGTGAAAAGCTGTAATCAGAGATTTTTTTATATTCTTTCTCAAAAAATGAATGATTTCTGTCAATCAACTTATTGATTTATCGACTGATAGTTGCAGCTTTAAAGTTGGATAAGGTTTACTCACTACAACATACTGTCAGCTGCTATAGAAACATTGGGAATTGTAGGGGATTGGGAAGAGGCAGCCTCAAAGTGACTTGTGAGCTCTTTGTGGAGCAAATCATAATTCATAATGTCATTAGGAGTGAGTGGCTTACTCGAAAGCGAAGAAGAGCGCACAGGTCCCCATGATGAGGAACAGCGTCAGGTAGAAGACTCCCTTCTGTCGGGCCATCATCACCCGTCCGTCGCAGCAGAAGGTGTTTTTCCCCGGAAGCTTCTCCCATTTTCGCACCTTTCGCGCTATCATCACCGCCGACATGGTGTCCTTCTTTGGGTGGATGTCAGCTTGTTATACTGTGAAACGATTCCCACAATAAAGATGATGCGTCTCACAAATACCGTTCAGTCAACGTGACACAGTCCAGAAAAACAAAACAGACGACTTACTAAGTGATATTACAGATTTCTGCACGAGGCGGTGGCCGTAAAGCATTTCATTTTGGTTCAAAGTGTCGCAGTCACATCATTGTTTTCTAATCCATTATTATTTCCAGTTTCTCGTCTTCACTGCAGCATGTCATTCCCACAGCGAAGCTCCCACGCTGCTTGAAACACCGACAATCTCAGTCCTCTCACCAGCCACTATTAACATTTAATAAAAAATATATATTAATTAAAAAACCATCCAAATGCTTGTGTCATATGTTTCCCACCAGAAACTAGAAAATCCAGCCGCGGCTGTTGCATTGGGAGCACGGACCTTGACCGATTGACTTTCATATCATCTCGAAAAAATTCATAAATGATCGTTCAGGCGTTCACAGACATTAGACTGTGGCCATGCTGCTGGAAGGTGTCCGCCTGCCTTCATTAATAACACAAATAAAAATCCTTCAGGAATAAGAAATAACCGCCTGTTTGGACGCAAACATGTAAAGCTGTTTGATGCTTTATTTTTTCTTCTCCCCGCAGGATGCCAGCTCTCGGTTTTAGTCAATGGCAGCAGGAAACACGCCTAGATTGAAATGTCTAATCTTAAAGGGGCAGGACAGGTAGAACTGGAAGGAACAAAGGACACAGATGAAGGTCCTGCATGGATCACATTAATATGCTGAAGCGCTCGCCTGTGGTATTACCCGAGGGAGATCACTGTGAGGGAGTGTATTCATGAAGATAATTCGTTAAAGACACCAGATGCATTAATCCCCCAGGTGTTGCTTCATGGCTCCAGAGAGCAGAAAGTAAACACTGCAGAGCTCCTCAGAGCATTTTACCATAAAAGATGTGTTCACTTTCAATTTCATGGATAACATATTTATTGTTTTTCATATCCAGCATTGAACTTAATTTAATCTGTATTCTTTGTTTTGAATATAGTGTTGTGTTTTTTATATTTGTATATTTTTGTTAACATGTTTCTCCATGTCAAAATAAAACTAAACTAATATAGTGTATTTTCAAAACACAACAGAGTAGTCTATTTGTAGTAATTTGTTGATCTCAGCAAAGACAATTTTGGATATTCTTTCCCAAAAATGTTCCTCATATTCCTTGCAATAATATCAAAACATAAGAGCTAATTCTGATTTGAAACTAAGCTAAAATGGCATTTTCACTTCTGAATTGTTTAAAACAAGTTTCCGTGCGTGAAACACATGTCATCTACAGACGAAGGCATGAAAAAATATTAAAAAGTGAAGAAAAAAAATTCTGATATTCAGATCAGAAGTGTTTTTTAATGCAAATTGCTGATTGTTTCTATAGTTTGTTTGTTCTGTGTTCATGGTCAATAAGACGCAACACGTGTGTAGTCAAATTAAAGAAAGGAGACATTTCATCAGGTGTGGTTAACAAGTATTTACAAATGGAAGCCTTTAATAAATAAGAAAGACAAAACAATTTTGGCAAAAGATGTGCAACTCTCATATAAAATATTTACTTGCTCAACATTTTTATCTTTAATATTATTAATGATGATAACATTATGATATGTTTGTAAAAAGCCATGGGTTAAAACTTAAAATATGAATTGATATAAAAATGTACACAAAGCCCTTTAAAAAAGTGTTTTTTTGTCAAAAGTAGCCAGAGAAGTTTCTTCCAGTTAATACATATTTCTCAGTTGATACGATCATTTAAAAGAAGGTTATGCCTGTCACAATAATGAATACATCGACTTATCGTACGATATATCGACATGACCTCAATCCTTTTTGCTGACCTCGATATTGCTTGTTATGTTTACATGTTTGTAAGTTAAGAATGTCAAACATTTTAGTCAACATGTTGTCACAATAAACAGCACGGATTTCCCTAACACTACGACTTGGGGACCAACATTGCACATATTGTTACAGAGCCTGATAGTGTGGTTGTGTTGTTATATTTCATTAATTTAGACATTTTTTATATATTTTCTTTTTCTTTTTCAAATGTCTTGATATTCTCAAGAATCAAAAGTCCATTGCTCTTTTAAAGGGTGTTCTTGCCTTTTCATGCCATTATATTATCATTAAATAAAATGACAATATATAATTTCTTACAATTATTTCTGTGACAATATATCGTCCAAGAAAATTGGTTACTGCTACAGGCCTAAAAAGGGTTATTATTACTGATCTTATATTGTTGATATATATATTCTTAAACAGTCCCTTTTGTTTTGTCTCATTCAGAAGCCACAGTCACCAAAGAATCAGTATTTATCTCAGCCTCTTTGATTCTTTGTAACTGTAAACTCTGCATGACATTATAATTTAAAGTCTGTGTAGTTATGCGTTCTTGGCTACACAAACTATATTTACACTGGCGAGCAGTATAATAGCCTCTGCTAAGTTTCCTTAAAGACATTAAAAGTGATATTATCATTGTTAAATATTTGCTCAGCTCAGTTATCCGATCTACCCTCCCTGTGGCTACACAGAGGCCAGAGGACGGCTGACGCAGGGAAAGGCTGGACCACAAATGACCCGGAGAGTGCACTAAACATCCCTCAGTGTGTCATGAAGTTATGGACCAGAGGTAAGAAAAGCTACTGCACGTCTCCGTTACTCAGGACCTATGCTGTTTTTGGTCTACTCCAGAGGAGAACATTATTAATAGAAGACCTGTCAGACGCTCCTCTGACCAACCTGCCAACTCAGGTTCAAATGTACTCGTGACTGCAGACTGCTAAAAGTCAGAATTTTAAAATGTGGTGCCACTTTTCATTACATAAGTAGAGATCACGGAGGGTGAGGTAGAGCTAGTTAAATCCTACAAGCAGGAAAGCTAAAAGGTAGCGTTGATGATCTAATGTGCAGCAGATAGACACTATAAGAGGAAATAAGATAGAACTTTATACATCCAGAGGGGAATTATCGTGCAGCAGTTGCAGTACAAAGTATAAAAGAGTGCAAATATAAATTACTAATTAACATAAAATATAAATAAAGGTGCACATAACTTTAACCCCCTAAGAAGGAAAATGGTTTAAAGACTTTCCATACCACCTACAATACCACTAATGAAGAAAGACAAAAATGCATCCAGTATTACAGAGAACATATAGTGTACTAGCATGATGCTTGTATGAAACTATTTCAAATACGACTTGAAATCACTACAAAAAGTGCAAGTATTTGATCTAGCTAATTTACAACTTTTGGACTAAAAGTCAGGATATTCTGGCCTCTGTTGCATCCATTTTGACTATTCTTTATTTAAAAATAGTCTCTACAACCAACGTTATGGAAGTGTAACAACCTTAACAATCCCAAGACTGACCCTTAAATGAAATGTCTCGCATAAAAAAGAATGATACGTGGAGATGACCACGGGTCACCTTTTTATTAACCGTATATCAACGTTACTTTTCTCTGTCTCGCTACTATGTAACGTAGTTAGCGTAAGTTTACGCACCCTCCTGGGTTTTGAGCCGTTTGTCTCCATCTATCGACATCCACGAGCCACTTTGTCCAAACTGTTACTGCCCTATTCATGACGTTCTCCAACAAAAATGAAATATATTCATCATCTTTTACTCAGAAATTGCTCCTCTTCGGAGTCAAAGGGACGTAGAATGGTGGCGTTTTAAATTCAGACGTAAGCAAGCTAAAGAGTCAATGTTTACAATAAAGCTTTTGTAATTTGAAACGTCCATCCTAAAAAATAGTCCGACGAGCAACACGCGTTGATTGAACAGTAACAGGTGTTGTGTCAAATACTGTTACCCAGTCGATATTTGTCTCCCACCCCCCCACCCCTCCCACCTAAACCTCTATCAGCCCTTATCCATAACCGCAACGACCGAGGGCGCTATCGCTTTAACTGAAGGGAGGCACTATTCGATGAGGGAACTGGTTTTGACATAACACCTGTTCCGGTATCTGTAATTTTGTTGCAGTATTTATGTATGCACCGTCATACATAAATACTGGAGATATGTTTGCGTGCTTGTAAATGGACGGTGTGCCTTGCCTTCGCGTGTCGCAGTGTCATGCACAGCAGTTCAGGTAAATTAGTCATATAGCTTAGCTGCTTAAACTAGGTTAGCTAGCAGTTAGCATGGGAACCAGATACACTGATGGGAACCAAGAGCAATGTGGACTGAAAAAAATGTTTTCTGTGGCTGTCTGTAGTAATTTTAAAAATATTTTTTATTTCAAATAATAAGATTATAATCTTATATGACGGTTGAACCTTTTACAGGAGATGTCTACAGTCCAAAGGGGCTCTTGATCTGAGTTTATCTTTACTGAAAGACTCTGATGAGACAGTCCTCTTGCCCATTTCCGCATCCTGTCTGCCACAACTTGATCTGCTCTCTCTCAGAGCCACAGTGGTTTCAGATGGTGCTTGTGAAGTAGTTTGGAGTCAGGTGATTAAGCTGAGCTTCACTGGAATACACTAAGTAACAGATAGTACTATAGTACAGCTTTAAAGTATTTCTATGTATCTCCTGTTGTCTGTCCTGTTTACACCACAGTCCCACCTGCAGTCAAAGACAAAGAGAGGAAGAACAAGTGGCAATAAACTAGAGAAAATCCTCCAGGAGGTGTTGGAATCTCACGGTGAAGGATGGACAGAGGAGCTGAGGGGTGACCTCCCTCGCAGCTTCCAGAGGCATGGAGACCTCCTCCTGCTGGGGGACAATTGCTTCTCTCTGCCACTCTGGAAGAAGATGGGTACTGTTCTCAAACTCATCCTCACTTTTCTGTAGTAATATGTGGACTAAAAAAAAAAATCACAAGGACATTTATTGATGGCTTTTGACTTTTCTTTTTTTAGATCAACAGATATGGAGTGCGGTGGCCAGAGGCCTGGGGGCAAAGCGGCTGGCAAAGATGAGTCGAATATCCACAGATGGTTTTCGGTCTCCTGTGGTGACGATGCTGTTCGGAGAGCACAGCTGGGTCAAACATGTGGACAATAGGATTAGGTAAGTCTCAGTCCTAATCAATTAGTCATTCGTTTGCTGTTGATTTGCAACATGAAACATTTGGGCACATGAATGAAAAATGTGACCATGACTGAAACACGTCTTAACTTTTGATTTCTTCACCTTTTTGTTTCAGTTATGAGTTTGATGTCACCCGATGCATGTTCTCAGCTGGAAACATAACGGAGAAGCTCCGGGTGGCTGGATTTGACTGCAGAGGGGAGACTGTGGTGGATCTGTATGCAGGTGGGATAACTGACAATGTGTGACAAGGTTTTGATATTGATGAATAATTCTCTTTCAACTTAATCATCAACAAAGGAGAAATGATAAAAATGCACAATCCTAGATGTTTCATTGGATTTCTCTGGTGGATTTCGTCTTTAGTCCAGGTTCCAGGTGTATTTCCTGCCCCATCATGTTACGTTGCTTGTGTCCAACCCTTTTGCTTGTGTCCAACCCTTGTACTCTTCAGTGGTAATTAAACATAATTTGAATTATTAAGTATCACAGCTGTATCTTGTGTTAGGTATTGGATATTTCACTCTGCCATATCTGGTCCACGCGGGGGCCAGTCGTGTTCACGCCTGTGAGTGGAACCCTGACGCAGTTCAAGCTTTACAAAACAACCTCGAGGCAAACGGGGTGTCTGACCGCTGCACCGTTCACCACGGAGACAACCGACAAGTAATGTTTCCATATGTGTCCCATACTGATTATGTGACGTGGATAAGTTACATTATTAGCTTCGTATTAATAGATCGCATCTCTGTGTTGTCTTCAACAGAGATCTAAGTGAGGTTCACTCAGATATTAGTGGTATTGATGAGGTAATATCACAATAATAAAATAAGGAAAATCAAATATTACAGTTTGTCTATCACTGTTGTCATTAATAGATTATCTGTGGAAAAATATTGTGATATTTTGATACACAATTCTGTCATTTAAATTGATAACAAGCTGAATGTATTTCAAAACATCAACACAATATTATACACATGAATATATTTGATATATTTTTGACATCACACTTGTTACCTTTCAACTCAGTTTGAGGAATATTCTTTATATGTGATTTCTTTAAATCTGATTCCAACTATATCTCGTAGTTCAAACCTCTGGTAGCCCTTTAAGTCAGATGTTATGTCATGACATTTTGCACAGTACAAGTATCTTGGTTTTAAAATCCCATCGGCCATCGTTTGATCTGCATCTCCTCCTGAATAGCTCAAATCATTATCATCATCAATATTTTGTGCTCTGACTGTAAGCTATAAAAATCAAATCAGCTTTATTACAAGAATGAAAAATAATGACACAAATCTATACACATTTTTGGAAAATAATTTAGTATAAAAGAGCTAAAGAGCTTTTTATTTTTGTATTGTTTAGCTCCAGCTGTGTGACATCGCTGACCGAGTGAACCTGGGTCTCATACCGAGCTCTGAGGACGGCTGGCCTGTTGCCTGTCGACTGCTGAGGAGAACAACCGGTGGCGTTTTGCACATTCACCAGAACGTTACGTCAGCGATCGGCGATGCCACCCACAGGACTTCTGGGAAGAAAGCTGCCGGAGAGGCGTGGCAGGCCTGGGCTGATGACACAGCAGACCGCATCGCCTCTCTTTTAGAGGACACCACTGGTGCACGGTGGATAACAAACAACCGGCACATAGAACATGTGAAGTCGTACGCACCTCATGTTCACCACATGGTGCTGGACTTAGAGTGCAGGCCACCCTGAGCTGAGGAGATCAACACAAATGTTTAGTGCGTTCATGATTCTAATGTGCTGCTGTCCAGAGAAGAAATAGGAAGCTTTGTTGTTAGTGAAATCAGCTGCTGCTGTGTTTTTATAAACCTTTATTTATCCAGGGCAGGTCCGCTGAGCACAAATGCTATTTTTCTGTTTTTTTAAGAAACGCCCTGCATATATAATCCCATCTGGAAGCTGCCAAGCCGTACCACAACCACAGCCTTATCTGTCGGCCACCGGATAACAGTGGTGGTTTGAGGTGATTTGCTCAAGGGCACCTCATTGTCGTGTTATACTCACTCAGAAGGCAGCAGCCAATTTAATCCATCCTACATGACTCGTGAGCTGTAACCAGGTGACAAATTGAAGGGAAAAAAACTGCATGAGTGGAGAGACGGAGTGCCTTTTGCTTACATACCTGGGAGTTACTGAATGGTTTCATAAGCATGGAAATGATGTGAATCCTATGATATGCCCTTCACAGTCAGCAGGTCTGACCCCAATTGAATTGAGATTTTGGAGCCAAATAAGGGAACGTCTTCTGGATGACTGGTGTTCATCCCTCCAGTAGAAAGCACTGGAGCCGCTCTGGTTGTGGTGGACCAACATGTTACGAAGGCGGCTGATGTTGTTTTTGGGGTAACGGGGTGAAAAGTACAAAATGTGTCTTTGCACAACTTGCCAAATGAGCCATATTCAACAGACGCAGTTGGATTTTCTTAGTGAGTGATGGCCTCAATGAGTTGCTGTATTAATCAATGAAATACAAAGTCAGCAGAAGTGTCCAGGCTCATCTCTGTCTGTAAATTCATGGAGGCACCTGGTTGTGCACATTTAATTAGTTGGGAATAAAAGCAGTGTGTTTCAGACATGAATATTTATATTTAAATCAACAAAGACTCTCCTGCTTAAATACGATTATATTTACAATGGGAACAAGAGACCCTAGGAGGTTATTAATTCATTTTTGAGAGAAATAATATCTCACACAGACCTCTTAGATACCAGAGATTTGTTTTAAGTCTGGGTGAGACTTTAAAACTATTTATAGGCCAGGTAATTATTTGCTTAACAATGTTCCACCATCACTTTGCATACGCCTTGATAATAAATAATGGAATAGTGTTTATGCAGGCACACCATCTGCAGTGCATTATTTTCTCAACAGCAATAAATGGCTCATTCTTTGTTTACTTGTTGCCTTTCTCACTTAACTTTTTTTTTTTTTTTTTTGCCCAAAGTAAAAAGCCTGCACTTTCCTGAAACTGTTACCGGTCACGTTCGGGAGGGTAAAGTGAGCAGAAATAAAAATGAATGGACTGTTTCAATGGGTCACATGTTCCACGTGCAGCCCTCCTGTGGTGAACACGGCTCAAGGAAATGCACCTGTCATGGAAAATGTGGAGAGGCGCTCCTGCCTCTCGGCTGCAAACTTTCCTTATCTTCCGGTACTCGGGACTCCTCGAGCGCGCACAAAACTTCAACACTTTTTTGGAGACGGGAGGCAAGAAGGAGAAGACGAAGTGGAAAAGTCAGGTCTTGCATTTGCTCACAGCCAACGAGGAAAGTGAGTGAAGCAGTTTAATGACACACGGAACTGTAATAATCTTAAATGCACTGTTAGCTCGTCTGCTACTTTTAACCCTTTTTGTTGTGTTTTCTGTCAGGAATATCTCGCTGTCGCCCGTAGTGACGCAATCCGTGTAGCGGTGGTGAAGTCGACGTTTAACAGGTGGGTCATTTTCGTGATTATATTGCGTAGATCTACTTTTATTTTAATTAACAGCCGATTTCAGACTTATCCATGTGGTAAAATAATCAAATCGTTTCTTCCCAAAATCGTCATCCTTCACAATCGGATAAAAGCAAACGGTTTAATAAAGACACCATGACGTTATTGTGGACTAACATTAGCGTTAGTTTGATTTTCAGTTGGTAACATAACGCTTTAAACGTTCCACTGTTGGAGTCGCAGCCGTTTGCAGCTGAATTTTAACAGTTTTTTCGCACTTTTGTTGAGCTACAAGAACAAGACGCGCATTATTTTTCACGTTTGTTAAATCCATTCTGTCAATGACATTTGCAGTTTTTTTTTTAAACATGTCTCAATGTTTGTTTTAAACAAATTCCTTCCTTATTATCCATTGTTTCGTGTTTGTAAAGGATGTTTCCAGTTCGTGCACTATCTCTGTCATCTGGTGCAGACGCATATGCGCCATTTCCTTGAAGGTTAAGTTTTACCTTATCGAGTTGCCTTACAGGTATTATTGAACTTCTGCTACAGTTAGTTGGCTTCAGGCATTCAAACAATGAGGAAAAAGTTTTAAAAGCAATTTTGACTTCCAGCTTTCCCCACTTGTTCTGTACTTAACAGGCACAATTTCCTCCCCTCTTTTGACCCACTTCAAATGGAGTGTAAAATTTCTGAAGGGAGCCTGACAGACATGGCGGATTATGATACAATGGGCCTCTGCATGGGCACAGATATTCAAAAGGCCCCATCTCCTCTCCTACATGGAGCAAGACACACAGACGTTACAACCGCTAGTTGTTTTTATGTTGTTTTGTGTCATATTGTGTCTCTTTATGGTTGTTTTCCTGTAGTCGTGAGTCTCTTTGCAGCTGTTTTGCATCTCTTAGCAGTTGCTTTGGTCTCTTTGTAGACTTTGTGTCGTTCTATGTTGCTTTGTGGTCATTTCCTGGTTGAATCGTGTCTCTTTGGCTGACATTTTTTAGGTGGTCAGGGAGGGTCTCTGACAATTTTGGGCCCCTGGACCTGTGCCAGGTTGGCCTGTTAAGTAATACATCCATGATGATAGGTGATAAAATTGGGATTAAACAGATTGTGAAGTTACTGAACTCCACCCAGATCTCTGTATCCTTAGAGGGTGGGAACCCTTCACAGTAGCTAAGTTCATGTTGTTGTGCCTGTCTCTCTTAAAACAAACTTTCACCCAGGCAGAGGCTTTCTGTGGGAAGTTTTTAATCCTCTAGCATCCTGGTTCCTTTGAGTCATCTATCTTTTTTTGGAACACTGGATGAGGCCAGTAGTTTGCTGCAATTCCTGTCCTTGAAAATGGAAAACATGCCTCAGAGTCGGTCTCTGTTGGCTTACTAGTTCTCTAGATTCCCATGGGAAATCCTTTTTTGACAGATAGACATAAGGCTTTTTAAATACAAGGAGGCTACAACTCTTGTACTCCAAAACTATCCATCACAAAGTTGCTGTACTGAGGCTTCACTCTACGCTTATGAGTCATTTGATGAGGACCACACAGCTGTTTCTGCCCGTCTGTATCTTCATCAAGTTCCTCGTTTTACTGCTTTTTACTCTTCTTAAAACAGCCTCTCCAGTAGTAAAACAGTTGAGAGTTTATTCCTGAGGATTTGTTTCGTCTATAGGAGATCTCCTCGCTACCACTGAGCTGAGCCAGTTAAGCTACGCTGAGGGTTTATGGTTGAAGGCACGATGCCCGAGGCCGCTGACATGATCAACCTGGGTTTCCTGTCCGACTCTGAGCGGGAGCTGATCCTGGAGGTGCTGCAACGTGACGAGGAGCTGAGACAGGCTGAGGAGCAGCGTGTGCGGTGAGAACAGAGCACTTCCTCTTAATAATATATTTTCAAATAAGACACATTTTCAGATTTAGAACCCGGAACAGACGTTGAAACCAGTGAATTTTTACCTACATGATAAAAGTTAATAAAATATTTCTGTTAATTGATTATTCAACAAGTTGTATCGACTATAACACATACAAATCAAAAATGTTTCATTGTATTACAGAGAAATGTATGTAAAACATGTTACAATATTTAAAATAACAGACACTAGACAACTCAAGAAGTTTCTCAAAGGACAACTTCCCCTCTTCTTTAATATTTGTGTTGTGTCTCAGGAGTTTGAAGACAGAGTTGCTGGATGTGAAGAGGAAAGGGGCCAAACGTGGCAGTGGACGATACAGTGACCGTAGTTGTGGCAGATGCCAGCAGCCTCTGAGTCGACTGACTGTTTTCTCCAGCCGGTGTAAGATTTGCAATCACCATGTGTGCAGCAAGTGCCGAACAGTCCTCCCCGAAGGATCCTGGCGGTGCAACGTGTGTGCCAAAGAGTCGTAAGGGATTGTTTTGTTTATCCTTTAACTTGCCAGAATAATTGTGTCTGGATACAATCGGTTTGTCTTTAGGGTTTATATTGTTCAGATTGTCAACAAATCCTGAAAAGCTCCGAGCCCATCCATGCCTCGTGAATATGTAAAAGTCACACATAAATTGTGCTTATATTTATAATCTTAAGTTTGTGTTATCGGTCAACAAACATTTAAAAAGTGCCAACATTTCTCACAATTACCAACTGTAGCACGTGCTCCTGCCTGTAATGGATGTATATCTGTATATCTAATTAACCGATGAATGAGTGTAAATTCTGTTCAATTTACACCTTTTTACAATAAGTATTTGTGTTGGATTCTAGGGATCTAAAGAAGAGGACCGGTGACTGGTTCTACGATCAAAGGATCAACCGTTTCTCCCTGATGCCTGTACACGACCTCATGAGAGCCTCCCTGAAAATGAAAGCTCAGGGTGAGTGCAGGAAGAGGAAGTGGGTATCGACTGTTCAACCGGGAATGTAAACAGCTCTCAGCCGGGGCCAAATGAAATGCCCACAGTCACTGGAATGTAGTCCCAGTCCAACAGTAGGAGGAGAGAAATGTTAAAAACTGCAGTAACATGAAGGCATTTTGTTTAACTGGTGTGCGATTTAACTTTTGTTCTGTGTTCTAGGGAAGAAGCGTGAGACAACGGGAGAAACACTGTTGAGAAGTATTGAAATGAACCCAGATCCTCCGATTCCTGTGCCACGGGTCAGACAGAAGAATCAGATAACGGATCACAAAGGGTGCGTCGTCATTCTTCTCGTCAGTTTAAGAAATGTTAACGGATTTTCACATTAAGAACATTTCAACCTTGTCATATTTACAGTCATTCAAACGAGAATTCAGGATCGATTGCTTCAAAGGAATCATTTGAATCAAAGGAGGAAGTTTGGTCAAAGTCAAAACGCAGCGACTCGGAGTCTGCAGAAAAGAGCAGTATAACTAGCAGTAAAGCAGACACCGAGTCTGGCCATGTGACCCCTGAGCAGCAAAGGTAAACTTATTCTGAAACGTCCAAACACTACACGTTGTCTTCAAGGACCCACTTTAATGGCAGGAGGTGTAGTGTTTGTCCCTCCTTCCCCATAGCCGGCCAGTGTACTGGAGTAGTCCAGTCTAAGGCTGAGACAGACTTGTCTGGCTCAGATCATTTTTAATTACAAACTGCATTGTAATTTGTTTCGAAAATCCTTTTAACAATCAGATAAATAAGTTAAATATTCACAATTTAATTTTACTACACATTTTGATTTGTTGGCCTGAAGCCTAAACTTCCTACTTTCCACTAAAATAGTACAAAAGTGTCAAAGTGGAGACATAAACATTAAAGAATAAGTTATTTACTTTGCAGTGAAAAAAAGATTGCTGTTTATGTAGTTTTAAATAAATCTTGTGAAGGGAGATGTGTTGTCTTGTTCACCTGACCCTATAGTTTGTGATTACACTGTTAAAATTGAGAATAATAATATTAAATCAGTACATTCAGCTTCATTATGTAGATAGTGTGGAATATCCTGAGAAGCATAAACTCCCAAATCATGAACAGGACAGCACTTCAATGAAGGTATTTACTCATGCATGGACGTTTTGGGCTTGGCTGAAAAACTGTTGCATGCGTGCACGCTGAGTAATCATCTGCCTGAAACGTCCGTGCATGAATAAATAACTTGATTGAAGTGCTGTCCTGTTAATCTTTATTCGGGTTCTACTAAAACCCACATGTTGCAGACAAAATTTGCTGAAATGTCCCAATTGCCAGATAGTGTAATTGGGATGAGACGCATGTAGACACTGAGTCACACACGAGATGAAAAAGTTAGTTTACTTCTATTTGAATGTAAAATGTTGTAGGTGTCATTAATAATGATTTGTGTCATCACACAGGAAAGGGAACCCTTTCGTTCCGTCCAGCCCAGCAGGGTCCACTGTTTCCAGTCTGACCGCTCCAGTCAAAGTAGGTATCGTTAGCGTTGACGGCGCCAACTTGGAAGCTAACGATGTATGCTTCTTTCAAGTGACAGGTTCATGTTTCTGTGTCAAACCATTTAAAAAAGAAAAAAAATTGTTCTGACTGACTCTGTCACTACAGGCCCCAGAAGTAAAGCCGGTCAGCCCGAACCCGGAGACAGATGTCGATAGACTCTTCAAGAAGAGCATCAAACGAGACCCAAAACCTCCTGGTTAGCATCTGATATTACCATGTGCAGTTTTCGTGCAATTCAGTTGTTTTTCTTCGTCCAGAACCGAATGGAAAAACATTGTGTGTATCGCAGCTTAATTGCTGGTCTGACTGTTTTATAACAGAGTATGTATCGACACTGGATCTGCGTGATGTACGTGACAAATCAGAGGCCTCGATGGGCAACAGGAGCCAGTCTGTACCGGGCCTCGACATACAGGTAAGAATCTAGCTTTTCATACACTTATAAACTGTTTTGTCATGAATCTGTTATTTCTTTTATTTTTACCATCAACTGAAATGTTTTGCCATATTAGTAAAACATTGGTCTCTTTACATTCTGCACCATAATAAAGAAACCTCAGTGTAGGAACATGCAACTGATCCGTCTGCTATTACATTTTTAAAAAATTGCTTCAATTCAAATTTTTCAGCATCCCCAGCACCACGATATACTTCAGGAGGCGGTTTTCGTAGATCTAGCTATCCAGCAGCAACCGAGCAGAGAAAAAGTGACAGTCAAGCCTAAAACGAAACCTGTTTAGTGGCTCCATTTAATTGTGGTCTTTTGAGGCTATTTGCATGCTATCTTTGCCTCTCCTGTGGTGGTTTATTTCCTGTTATTCGTTGAACGTCACTGTCAAATGAAGACCATCCTCTGATTGTAGGATATATCACTACAGCCTGGCATTTACAGTTGGTTTTAAATAGTTTAACAGTTTTCTGCTTTTTAAATTGACTATAATTCTGTTAAAAATAAGTTGTTGGTTTTCTGAATAACACAAGCCTTATTTTTTCTTACAACAAAAAACTTAGGATAAACATCCCACTGTGTGTCTTTGATCAGGCTTTTACATGTTTGTGTTGCCACAGGAAGACGGAGAGGAGGATGAAGATATTGACAGCTTGGTTAGCTTTCATAAAAGGACAATCGCGTCGAGCTCCTACAGCCTGAATAGCTCAAAGGTAAAGTATTGACATTTCTCACAGCTCGCATTAGTCCTCTAAATGCTCTTTTGAAGAGCAGCTCATTATGTCTCTCAGAATGGAACTAATGTTAGATAATCTGAACGAGCATCTGTAACCTCAGGACATCCTGCAGCAAGTCAGGAAGTGTGAAATTGATGTGTAGCGTCTACCAAAGTGTTTCTATAGTTACCAAAGGCACAGGGGGAAGCAAAGCTGCGGCCAATCTGGATTCAGATATTGACAGAAACATCCTGATCTTTGCTAATTGGTTTGTGCATCTCTGTTAACCCTTTCAATATATATGTATGTATGTATGTATG